GCAATTTTTTGCATGATATGTCTGCTCACTGCTGTATTTCTTAATCACTGTCCCCTACCCACTAGCCCCTATATTTCTGATTTAACCGAGCACTTAGAACCTGACGCCTAGCGCTAAAATAAGCGAGACCGGTTGACAAATGTGTGCTGTGCTTTTCTGCGTATACACAAATTTAAACAATTAAATCAAATGTACCTGGGAAGTCACTTGGATAGTATGCTTGCGTTCCACCTCTGGTAGCTCGGTGTTCAATCCACCCTTGGGTCGATGAGATTAAACAAGGTCGAATGTGTTGTGCACTGTTTCCGGTTTTCTTTTAGTTTACATCTCTTTAGCTTCATATATGATGAAGTGCTCGATACCAATGAAGTTGGTGGGAGTGCTACGGTCCAATCATTTTCAGCTCAATGGAAACGCATTTTGAAATACGACTTCCTCAGTGACCCCCGGTGATCAAACTGTTCTGGCGAAACAAAACGGTTTGGTTGATTTCAGAATCGCAAGAATCCAGAACAGTTTCCGGTAAAATGAACACTCCAGAAACCGCCTTGGTTCTCCATCAGTTTAATTAATGAATAAATGGAAAATGACTCTGTTTTCCTGAATGTTGCACATCAGCTCCAATTGCTGTTAAATTATTTTGTAAATAGAGGTAATAGCCAAACAACAGCTTGAAATCAATCGTTGCAAAGTTTTCTGCAATTTAAAACCGCTACCGTGTATATCAATAATGCTAATTAACTATATTTGGGACTATCTGCGTTTCTCACGCATTACATATGAAGGATGCACAAGAGAAAACATAATATATTGCATGCCTCAACTGAGTCAATGTTAGCCGACGAGTATTTTCGTTGATTCTTGGACACGTGGCTAACGATTATTGCCCTAATATGTTACTAAATTGGTAAAACACCCTTTCCTCCTGGTGCGCATAAAACTGATTGGTGAAATCAGTGTTGTCTTCCATAGCTCCAATCTTACCCAATGTTCCAATTCTCTACCTCATCTCATATTAGTTACATGACCTAGGTGAAGTTCTGATCGCCAAACGAACCATATCTGACTGATGAAACTTAAATTATTTACAAAACTCCCCTAAACTATCGATTGGTTATTTTCAGTCTATATAAAATGTGACACGATAACTATCTAAAAAATGAAATGTACATAATGACCCCTTTAAATATAACTATCTCATCCCACCCCCGCAAGCAATATCCATTGATGTGAATTTGTTATTCAGTAGAGAACATCAATGCATTCATTCAAACATAATGGCAAAGATGCCATCTATCAAACAACATATCTGGTAGTAAAGGCTTTTGTCAAACAAAGTACCCACCCTGCCATAGAAGTTATAGATAAATATCATCATGAGTGCAGATGTTTTGGACCGAAATCTTAACACCACCTAAACGGACTCCACCGCATCATAATCATCAATTTAATAAAATCTTCTTCATGAAGTTGTCGGTATACGGTACAGTTGACCAGGCCGTTCAGTTCAAGGTTCAAACCTTGTCAATATTATCTAACTACGAGGTGGATTGCTATGCAGTTGCCCAGTACAATACCACCTTGTATAGTTTCGACTGATTTACCAACTTGAAGATCAGGAGCTTAAGAACCGATTTCGTTAATCCAGCATTGGATTCGTTTGGAAACGCAGTTTACTCCTCCAGCTGATGACGTCGTTTTTGAGAATACACTTCAATCTAAGACTGTTTCCCAGAATCCTAAACGACAAAGCAACTCGTCTAGTTCACTCAAAACATCAGTTGCGGGATCCACGTTTTGATATAAACGGGAAAAACGAGGCTGCACGTGCTACTCTCCCACGCTCATGTTGAGTGAGCATCGTCTCAGCTCCGAGTGACAGAGGGCGAGAAAGAGCGAGAGAGAGAGCGCGAGGGAAGATCAGCTGCTTGAAACTGTCATCAAACGTGATCAAAAATAGAACTGATTTTCAGCCTTCCATTATCAGTGATCTGCAGCAGGTGGGGAAATTATCAATTCATGGGGTTTTTTGGGTAAAACCTGTTGTTAGTTCAGTTTATGCATCCTGGGAGTTTGATTATCGATTGATATGACGAGTGTGTGTGTGTGTGTGTGTGTGTGCGGATGCGTAATGGTGTCTTTTATGCGCATTTACGTGCGACCGAGACAGAAACAGGTAAGATAAATACTTACGATAGTGAACCATCCAGAAATGCTGAGAGTCTCCTCGGCTTGTGACTGCAATTCAGGAAAGAAACGGGGACAGTGGGCCGGTGGGAAATGGATGTACGCAGTGGAAAGAGAAAAACCCGAACGTAATTAGCATAGAAACTAGCGCCACTTAGCAAAATTAATCAATGAATCAACACACTTGGATAGATACCAGCAGTTTGCAATTATTTTCTACTCCTTATTTTTCATTTTTGTTGCAACAAAAGCATTGGATATGGGTCTGTTAATGGCTCTTATAAGAGCCCTGTCGTTACGTTGCTTTGTTCAAAATCTTCAATTGATTTATTAAAGATGTATTTGATAGACAGTTGGTGTTTAGATTACTTAAAAGGAAATTTAACGTTTGCCCGGCTTCCGTTTTTATGAATAGTTTTACATCAGATGTGTTATTGGGCGCAAAACAGCCTACTTAGATGTAACGAACAGTATTCTCTTGATTTTCCTTCAAACGTAGTATGCGAGTAGTTAGATACAATGAACAAGACAAACTCGACCATGCAAGATTGTTTTTTAAGGGAGATGACAAAGACCGCTTTTAGACTGATAATAGTATGTATGCTCACATGCCACTCTACTCCATCTTGTAGGGTCCGGAAGAGGAGGAAAGCGGTTTTCCTGTTCCGCGGGAAAGCCGGGGACAGTCCCCAATTACGAATGATCAGGTGCTGGTCCATTGGACCCACAAGAGAGGAGGACATTCAGTGTTGCTGAATACATATGGCATTCACGGAGTCAGGGAGGATATTTCATGATCGAACAAACAAGTTACATTTTTGTTCACGGACTTAAAATATTGTCTTTATTTACAGTCGGCAATGGCAGGTTTATAATTTGGCATCTTCAACCAGCAACCTAAATATTATGTGCAATTGACCTCAGGAATTGTTGTATTCATGTAATAGGTTTCAATAGACTGAGAAAAATAATAAGAGATTGTACAACAAATGAAATTCATACCAAATTGCAAAATAAATGTTACTGTTAGATTGTTCCGACTGAGTTCTTGTATTTGCCATATGACTGGTTTGTGAAAACATTCAGTTCTATCTGGCAAGATTCAAACGCACTCATTTTGTTCACATTTATCTGCAGTTCTTTTAAACAACACAGGTTATTCATTTGATACTTGCACACTTTCGTTGATTGAAGATATAAATTCAAATAAAGATTATCTGTTTTTATGATAATCTAAATTAGTGTCATTAGGCGTGGGTGGAGGGTGGGTCATCAAACACATTGGTCCTTGTTGTTGTCGTCAGATATCACCAAAATTAACCGCTCCTCACAGTTCTCACTACTGTATCCGCAAGCAAAGCCACAGCTGAAAGATAACGCGGACAAATAGTGGCGAACAAAAATGTGAATCAAACCAGTGCTTGCGTCACATTGGTTTTGATGAATAGTTCACCTTATTCAATTTCCTGCTTGTTTTCTCGCCAGATGACAAGCATCCCGGAACACACCCGCACATGGCGCTACGCTGGTGGAGCGGAGGATATTGAATTTCGCAATGTGTTTGACACTTCCAGAACAACGAACAGCAATGCATTGATTAGTACGAGTTCAATTAAATAAGCTTCATTTGCGTACATTGATGAGCTCTGCACGTTTCATGAAGAAAATGAATTATACACATCTCTCTATCTTCTTTGATGTATCATCACTTAAACTTAAAAGTGCAACGTGAGCTATTACAACTGGGCTGATATTTTTTCAGTTTTTTGATAGATATAATAGAAGCAATGTTAAATGGAATCTATCTATTGGGAACTAGAACGGAAATCACAATATGCATGGGAAATTTCGAGATCTGTGTAAGTTGCCGATTGAGGCAGTTTGATTAAGATGGGCAGTGAATCCTGGCAAAGTTCTCTAAAGTTCTTTTGACGCATGATACATACATAGACGGGTCAAATGGGGTGTCTGACCGATAATGTCTATCTGACTACTGAAGTAATGTTATATTCATATACTGGAACGGGGTATTACGGATGAGAAATTGGTAAGTTGAACAAACGGAGGAACCCCTACGTGAAAATGCACCTTTCGGAAATGTTCACCTTAAATGTTTACCTAATTGTTTTCATTATCCTGTGCGAGACACCGAAACACAGCAATTCGACAAAGGAAAAGAATTCATTCCTGATTTCCAGGTCGGTTCTAGTTCTGCCAGTGGTGTTCACTGAAACGATTTGCTTTCCCAATACGAATGATTTTCGATTCTCCGCCTGGAATAGGTTACTTCTCCCCTACCCCCCTCTCATGCAAACACCGGGACCCCGCCTTGAATGCATACATATTCATTTGTTCTCAAATCCCTGTCAGGTTGACCGAAGCACGGTCTTGTAGAACACCCGCAGTCACACACACCTATACACACACATACATAGGTCCCTCCTATGGTCAGTCGCATCCGGTTCAGATTGTTTGAGGTTGTCGAAGAACTTAACAATCGAGGGTGTAGTCAACTATTCTACAATCTGCCTTGATTAAGTTTAGTAGGAACTAAATTGGTGGTAGTGGCATAAAATAGCTTGTAATCGCTAATCACACGAAATCCATGGATGGAACCGATCTTAATGAAAAACTTAGATGTCGTGCCCATGATTATTGAGGGAATTATCTTGTCTTAGCCACGACGCTTCGCAATCATTTTCGATAAATCCCATTAATTATCACTGAAGACAACATCTGAACAAACATGAATTGGTAATTTGGTTCAGCCATGGCATGAGCTGGTTGGCGCAGTGGTAACGCACACGTCTTCCATGTGATGGATCCGTAGTTCACAGCCCGGACAGAACGGTGGATGTGTACTATTGATGAGCTCTAATAAGAGCGAAACTCGAGCCTAATGCTTCCGAGTGTATGCTTGAATCAATGAACTGAGTATTGTGCGTGAAGGTGAAGTCCAAAGGATAGTCAGTCAAATCATTCAAAATCCCATTGTCTTCATAAAACTCAAAAAAAACAGTTTTTCACATAGAACAAGGAGTGGCGAACAAGATCGTTCTCAGTGATTCGTAGTCGTGCCAAATACATCACAATAAATAAACAAATTATTCTGTAAATGTGACCGAGGCATTCCGTCCCCTGTATCGGGTTCGTGGTCGATTATCAAGGCAGGTTCGTTGTCGTATGCTAGCCACAGCGGAAGCGGTAGGAATTCGGCTGCGCCAACCCCCTCTGTGTGCCCAAAAACAATTTGTGCAGGCGCTTAAGCTCCCCTGGCCCACCCCCCTATACACCCCATATTCCGAGTGGTCCCAACGATCGGATGACCTAACAATTATGCGACCATTGAGAATTCTATATCCGGTCCCAAGATGAACTTAGCACCAGATAACCCATGAGGTTATTTTCCCTTTCCCGAAACATTTGTTTACGATTTTATGATTGAATACTGATTTATATATAAACAGCGTAATATTTATTGTGATGTATTTGGCATGACTACGAATCACTGAAAACGAGCTTGTTTGCCACTCCTTGTTCTATTTGAAAATGTGCTCTGTGGGACTGTTTAGACAAAACAGTTTTGTTTAAAAAAGGAATTCATAAAGGAATAATGATTCTCAGTGGAAGTTGAACACAGGAATAGATGCTGGTTATGCCACACTATAGCATACGTTCTAACCGATGAACCACGGGTACAATCCCACAGCTATGCTTATTTGGAATTAACTTGTACCCCTTCCCTCCTCATTAAGCCTCAAGAAATAGCTAAACTCACTAGGCGGCGTGTACATCAACTGTCACTGAGATTCACTCTTAGTTGTAGCACTCTCAATACTACTGTCGCTGGTGATCTATTCACAACTGGACTAGAAGACAATTTTCTCCTTACATGCAGAACAGTGAAACCGGGAACGGATTGTTAATTCTTATTTGCCTTCATAATAATTGCGTTAGCATATAACCTTTATTGTTCAGAGAGAAACCACCACAAACCAAACTCCATCCTTTATTGGGTTCTCATCCATCTGTAAAAAGATGCTTGCTAATTCCTAAGAATTTTATTTTCCTACTAAATTCTTCTATTGTACGTCTTTTGGGATGCTTGCTAGAGATCAGCTGTTATATACCAACCTTTGAAAACCGTGGGTGGGTAATGAAGCAAGTTGATACTAATTCAGTGGTGAACTTCCCTTTCTTGGGTCATGGTTCAAACCTCCTTTCTTTTCACCGATACCAATCAGATTTCCGATGTTCACTAAACACAACTCATCAGTCTTACGCGTCTGTTCTGTTCACCGATTTTACCATTAGGGATACAAAACTGTTAAAAATATAGTTTCTATGCTGCTTTAAATCTCACACCGTCTACAGACTGTTCTTACGTTTAAAAATATTTATTCAAACTTGAGCAAAATTCTTCCAAACGGAATTGACAATGATTGGTGGTTTATGGCAAATGTATATGCTTTGACCCAATAATGTTCTTTTACATTTTTTGTCATTATAAGTCACTTAGATGCCCTTAACTGGTCAAAACACTCTAAAATCAGAAAATTCATGATAATTGACTTCAAAGAGGAAGAATCAGAAATCCGTGAAACTCAAAAGTGATCGGCTTCAGGGGGTGAGGTTTCTCACCTGTCGCAAATCAGTCTTTCATTTAGCCTATTCAAACAAACCATTTCCATCCGATCTCTAACGCTCCAGATGAGCAAAGAATAATAAACGCAACATTCATATACTGATGGATAAACTGATAATGCTGAGAACTGTGAGCGTTCTACGTGAAACGGCAGTTTGTCGTACACTGGGGACACAACTTACAAATGCGAGAATTTGTACCACATTGTACGTTATATTCACATGCACAGGGTTGTTGGATTGATTGTTATGCCCGTTTGGTCGAACAACAAGACTGCGTCGATGGAGCAATTGGGCTACCAGCTTCTCCTCCGGCATGAACATCTCGGACCACGATTGTGGATCATCAAATGCGCTCTGTGGGTCCTCGAACGAATCTATTCAAAATTGAACACAAATTTATTCAACAGAAAGCGGCAGTTGCAGGAAGGTATTTTTCTAAACCAATCAAACTTTGGGTGAATACGACACAATAGAAATATGAAATATACAAGCAGTGGTTTTCCTCAAGTAATTATATATATATATATATATTCAGTGTGTCGCTTCAAATAAGTTTCGAGTGTTTCATGCATGTGCAAGAACTATAAAATTAATGAGATTTCAACGGAATCCAGCGAGTAATATATGCCTCAGTCATCTGACTACTGCCTTAGGCATTGGCCTCTTCCGCGAAAAGTATCCAAGATTAGTAAAGCAACCTGTCATACAAGACGGGTAAGAAGTATAACAACTCAAAACGGGTGCAGACACAAACTCGCATTCTTCAATAAGTGCATTTATGATCCACATATGTGATTTACTATATGCGCTTATATGGCCACATGCAGGATCGTTTGAAACCGAGTTTACACCGACTTCTTGCGATAGTTCTTGACGGAATGTGAAGCAGCGGACACTCTTTTATCACACAACAATGGATTGAAAGATGATTCTATTTTGGTAACAGCTCATGGAAGAATGATACTAATAGGTAGCATGGACAAAATTAGATGAATTTTCTTGGAGAATTCATACGTGGAGCCTTTGCCTAGCCCAAGCCTGATCCGCTAGGCATTGGGGTGGTGTCTGGAAACCGCAATCCGTTGGGGGAGGAGCGGTGTCCAGTTCGTTAAATCATGCACCCTTTGGACAGGGCCAAATGTCCAATGTGACCAATACACATCGATGTCAAACTGAGCTCCACAACCGGAAAGGTGTGGGTATGTATGGTCCATATGTTTCTTCTTAGTCTATTTGGAATTATGGATTTTTGCGAACTCCCGGTATTTCACCAATCCGGTTATAGTCCCAAATGTTGCCTTTACGCCCTCCCATTTTGGTGGGAAAACACGCCCGTTATGGGAAAGCAGGGGGTAGGGCTTCTTCAGCAGAGGCTATTGGAGACGCTTGATCGTAGCGGAGCAGTTCACAAGGTGCATTAGTGGGCTGACCAGCATAAAGCAGACAACTACTCCCAACCAGACCGAGACTCCACATAGTTGTACACTATATCTTCAACCATTTTATTTCGAGGCGGTTTCTCGGAGATCGAACATAATTTCAAAGTCATCTTGTCAGAACATCCGGATAAGCCTAATGGGAGACGGATAATTTATCTGTTATACCTGAGTAAGTAAGCAAGACTTAACTCCACTCTTTAGGGAGTGTAACTGTAGCAGATTTAATGAGGATGTTAATTGCTTTTCGAATAACATCCGACTATTGTTGTTCAATTAAATATTTGAACAGTGTGTAGGTGAAGGGATACAAAAGGTTTGTAACAATCATCCACATCAAACAATAATTTTACAAAATATGTTTTGTTCATCTCTATCTGATGTTTTAATCGGGACCATTTTGTATAAGTTGACTTTACCGATGGCCCGAGTTTGGCATTAATCTGATTACGTAAATTACAGTTCATTGAATGAAAACGGATTAAAAAATCAAATGCCTGTTGAAATGTCGCTCTTGTGATGACACGCGGAGCCTACCATTTCCTAATCTATTGTGGGAAATAATTATCACAGAGAGGTACGCCAAAAGTCTGAAAGAGACGCCTCGTGTAGACGGAGACATACTGGTTCGAGACCAAATACAATCAATCCCTGCAATATTCTCTTATCAATTAGCAGTATCGTCAGCCAAAAATCATGGATGCGAATGCTTCATCCAATGTAATTTATTTTTCAAGATGATGCCCAGTGGAAGCATTCTTATTTGAAGTGCTATCAATAACATCAATTTGTGCATACTTCGATACAAAGCAATTTGAGTATCGTAAAGCACGCATTTGTTCAACTATCGCTCAACAGCTGATCAAATAGTAAGGGAACCTCTTTTTTGTTTCAGACGAAGAAGCTAATTAGAAAATACAAATACAGCGAGAGTCGTATAAAGAACATCATGGGGTAAGATACATTCAAAATCTTTATTAAAATGTGGTAGTCTTAACGACAAAATAGACTTGGGGATGTGATTAGTATAGAGAAGCTTACTCAGATTATTATCACTTTTTAACTTAATTCTTACATTTGTGACTGCATGCATTCTTCCATAATGGTTACACTGTTCTTCCGGTCTGGTCTACAGGAGAAAGACTTTTTTCTCTTTTCCAGATCTCTTAAACTTCTTTCTCGTTGCAGCGGCCTTTCAAAGACCGTTTTGGTTGACTTTATTGTGTGCAAGCATTTTGATTCATGTGACTGATTTATCAGCCCTTTCCTGCCCAATGAAGAACACTGCCTGCACTCCCATCTCAATAAAGTGGTGTCTCATCTGAGTACCCGCTCCCAATTTCGGATCCTTTGGGCAAGCACCACCACACACAAAACAGCATGATCCCTTATTTTGTTCGTATCTTGGTCAATCGAGCTAATAATAATACTGACTTGAACAATCGTCTGTCACAATAGGATTTTATCTAATCCGTTTGTTTCACATTTAGTAAATCTATATTTCTTCTTTTTCAGTGCTTACCATTTTCCTCACTGTAACTTGTCGAAAATGCTGAAAATTCATCCGATCGGGTGCATAAAGGTTTACTTGACTTGACTATGTGGTATACAGGATAAACTGTTAACTTCACGTCATCTTTTTATTAATTAGCGATTTCTGTCTCTCCGGCTTGTGTCAATCCCTGATTTCTCTAGCTTGGGTAGTGATACTACCACCTGAGGGAGTCTAAACACATTTGGTGGACGTGAGTCATTTCGCTCTCTGTGTGTGAACAAGGGCAGGCCATCCGAAGCGGTCCCGAATTGGTGACAGCCAAGGCGATTGCAAGTCCTGTGGACGCAAACTGTCGTCCCCAAACTCTTGATCTTTCACCCACTGACTTGTTACAATCAGCCCACACTTACCTTCTACACGCGCAACGAGAATGCACTCCGATCGCCACAATCAGGTGATGTCGTGATTTCTAATATCTTCATTGGTTTTCACGTGGTCATCCCGTCCGACCCCATGAGTAGTTTACTGAACATGTGCTGTATTTGGTCAGTGAATAACGCACCACTAATGAACTAGTTTTTCATTTTCCTCGTGCAATTTGACATGATGCCAATAGTCGTCGAGATGTTAATTCATCACCGAGACTTTTAACGTACCCAGTCAATCGAGCACCGATGCAAGGTGGATACCATAAGTGTTCCGTGAATGCCAGCTGATCACTTTTTGACTTAAATTTGTCTCTGGTGTATCGACTGTATCCAAAAGTCGGTGTACCATTTATGCACAGAGTGATTACGAGTAATGATCTCAACAAATGAATTAATGATGTCATACATTTTGCGTGGTTCATACACTTTCAAATAGGCAAAATCTACAACAAACTTGTTTACTTCTCACAGTTTCGTGTCTGTGTTGACGTGCCATAGTACTCAAATGTGCCATTCTGGACGCCGTATAAAAAAACTACAAATCGATATTTATTATACTTAAAGAAAATTGGATTTGATGCCCAAGGTGTTCTTCGTTTGGAATAAACTGATTATTGGATCATAGGGTAGGGCACCTACCTATGTAGGATTTGGTCGGACCCGAAGAGAACTGCATGGATGAACGATGCGAGGACTTAGCCGACGCAGATGCAGCGACATTAGCGGCCACACCACGCCGCATCCGAGATTGGGGAACCAGAGGGATTTGACTGCCGCACTGAACGACTAGTAGGGTCAGTACGACCAGAGTTTCCGATTTGAGCATTCCCAGGATACAGTATGCGCCAGTTAGAACGAACGACGGTCAAATAGTCATCTAAAGCCGTGCGGAGATTTGGGGATAATTGTGGATGGGAACCAAAACACGAGAGTGGAATGAATGATACAGGTTCACCAATAACCACTATTCATACTTCGATAAAAGTCCAGTGTCAAATAAGTTGCTTCTTGTGCTTCTGTCTATTTTGGCTAGACTGGAAAATTTATACAAATAAGTACTGATAACGTTTGAAAATTTATTTCTACGTTTTGCCATCTACTATCGGCCGTTCGGTTTGGCACAATTTTCAAGCTGAATGACCTATCAGGAGGTATAAAGTTATGGAACCCGAGTGTGTTATGGAACCGAGGATTAGTACTTCCCAATATCTTCAAGTTTTCTGTTTTGTCTTGAGTAGGAGAATGTGCGCATTCACTGCTCCGATTTATTCATTTCAACAATGAACAGAATAAATGGTTCTGGATGTGCAGTGTTTTGTTTTTCTTTGAGGTCACTAGGTTTTCTACTTAGCGCAAGTTTCACCAATTCATACTGTAATGATAATGACAGTGAAGGGGGACTATGAGCAGTCAGGCATTGCTTTGCAATACCCAGAAAAGATGGGTTGGACGATAGCGGTTAAGTGTGAACTCAAAAACTCATTAAATTTGATGGTAATCTTAACCGCTCGATCACCACCATGAAACATTCATGGGTATATATGTGAGCACAAAATACCAGCTACATGTGAGCAGTGAGATTACATGGCAAAGTCAGAGTCCGCAAATATCTTCGGTTTTTTTAATCATTTTTCTCTATTTACCTTACGTGGGTGACGTTGCGTATTTGTGCATTGTATGACAGCTCTTCCATTGATCGCTTCTCCCTTCCAGATAATTGTATAATTGTGTATTCAATAAAAGGAAACAAAAATGAAAAGTTGTTCCAAGTCTGCAATAGTAGTTGCCTAAACTGGAATTTCTCTCCATTAGAACAAACCGTTTTATAATTACACAATCTTGTGGCTCTGAGGAATCTCGACAACCACACATACATACACACACATCAACACATTGAATTCTTCCGCCATTTCATTCCACACTTATTTTTTTCGCCAAGACAGTTTGCATACGTTTGTTCTTTAGCGAGCTTTCTAAATTCCGACGAAGCTTGTACAAAACTGGGCTGATGCTCCGGTTCGCAGATCAGGACACGTCACACCCACTGCTGACTTGGCTCGACTATTTCTCTTTCCGCTTTACCGCACAAGATCAGCTGGCGTTTTCGTATTCGATGATGCACATGCGCATACTGAAACGTAAGTGAACAAAACGGAATTACATATCCCCTGTGTATGAGAGGGGAAGTGGAGAGTGAAATGTAACTGAATCTGACTCTCACTTCTTCTCTCATCCAAGATTGTGAGTGTACGGAACATCCACGTGTGGGTTCTCTTGGCTTCGTCAGGAAGACCTGCAAACTGCCGGGTGATACATACAGGTGGAGAGAGAAGCACGGATTCACAGACTCGCAATGGGGCATGCACATAGACGAATTGGCAGACGGAGTTAGCAGAGCATGAAGATTCTTGATAAAATCTGACTGCGTCTTACACACGCATTTTGTGTTCTAATGTTTCATTTTGCTTGGTTTTAGCTGCAATCTAGTTGGTCGGGGTGCCTATCCATTTTCGCAGACCGCGTGAAAGGAGCAATAACTTTAATGGTAGTTTGGGGAAATTGCACGTGGATCTATAAAAAATTAGTGCAGTGGTGTTGTATGATTTTATACCTGAGTATTGCCCACATAATCGACATTTCGAATTCTGGATAGGTAGAAAGATAAAACATGTCTCCTTGTAGGAGGACCAGTGCTAAGTTGATCTTCGCATTGCCGGATTCGCTTCAACCGAGATAACAGCTTAACAGAGTTGTTTACTAGGTGGATAAACAAACCTACTTTAAGCCATAGGTGTTCAAACGAAATGATGCAGGGGCGAGAATTTTGAGTCACGGCAAAACAGAAGTACATGAGATGGTGTTACTAGTTGAAATATTCCTGACTTACCCATCTCTACCCAAATATTGAGCGGGGTTCTGTGTCATGTAGATCAATTGTGAAAGGACTATCTGTAGTGATTTTTGGTTGAAACGGTTCTTACATGAATACAACTAAACCGCATCTTTTCGGACGATTTCAAGGGATCACAAGAAAACCTCAAGGATGCGAGAACAGATATTTTTACAAAGTACAGATAGCAGACAGCATGACAAACTGCTTGACTCGGCGCACTGTATCCACCTTTTGTGATGAATGACAGAAGGAGTAAATCCCACAGTTAAGATAGTCTACTATTCACAAGCAGAAATCTAGGCTCTGAGGATCAAAGTAAAAAATCACTGAACAACTAAATAGTAGAGGCGTGATATTGACCTGGTCGAAATGAAAGCTGCCTATCAAACCTTTTGCATGGCAGTGGCACAGTTTGAACCTTAGGCTCCGTGGCCCAAAGCAGACCAAAGAAAGCGACGCCATCATCTGATTTTCATGGATTGATACTATTGTATGGTTTCCGAATAAAGCACATCGCAATACTCCTGAGGATCAATAGTTTTTTTGTTCGAAGTAACAGGCAAAACTTCTGTTAATCCTATTGGTAAGTTCCATTCAGCATCGATAAACAAATCTATCTTCGTACAATGTTTCAAAATAAGTGAAAACGGAAATTTTATTCGCTCACAAATGCTGCGAATACTCAGTTTTGAGCAGAATCTATGGAGTAATTTTTACCATAGAACCAAATAAAGTCACGGGGAACATCAGCTGAGTTTTCCTCACGATTTCATGTAAGAACGAAACTGAATATCGATCCCACATCCGAATAACAAGCTGTTCTTTTTACTCCATATGGCATGTACGTCTAGACACCGACTAAAATGAATAATCATGTAATAAGACCTAGATGATGATAAGAAGATCATTACTCTTCTACTCTCAGTGGTCACAACAACAGGGATAGCCACGAGAATGCACTCCCATACCTACACAGAAACCATGGTGCTAAACTGCCTGCAAGGGGTTGTAAGTATACAACTAGCGGCAATGCGTAACCGTATTTTGCAACGGAACAGATCATGAAATGTTACACGGCTATGTTTATGCCATTCACGTTTTTGTTTTGTTTGACTTGGTCCGCATAAGAGTCAACGAACACACTAATCAGATATCAGTTGATTATAATCGTTGATAAATATCTGCAAATATCTGCAACGCAAGATATGTATTGTTCGATACTTGAGCAGAAAGATCTTTTCCCTCTTCATACCCCTTGAAAGAAATGTTAACTTACTTCATCGGAAGCAAACCCACTATGTAGATTTGCGCTAACCCAACGACTATCTGACTTATCAAATCATCTAATAAATTGACTCAAATCCACCATACAATTTAGTCGAGGGTAGTGAATGGATTAAAATTCGGCGTGAAACGTGAGTCATTCTTTTGAACAAACAAACGTGATTGCACGGATAATCCACAGAATAACTTCACTATACCTCAACTAATGCATACTGAAGAAGAAAGGATTCACGTATCAGGAAACATTGATTCATACTAGGCAGGAAGAGGAGCAGTCTCACACATATAACTGAGTTAAGTCAAGATAACACAAAACGTTTTCTGTTTACGCATTTTGGGTTGAATTCAGCTTCTGGTATTATCCCACAAGCTCCGGGTGAATACAGTGACTAATGATACATTGAAAATCAGTCAGTGGAAAGTTATAAAACACAATGTTTGGAATTTAGTTCAACTCACAAAAGCAAACAAATTAAGTACAATAACTTCTTTCTTGAAGTTTCATTACATATTTGAAACAATGGATCTCTTGCATTCATTGCAGCAACACGGAAAGCATCTACATGTGGTGAGACGTTGACAATTGAATAAATCGTCTCAAACGCTAACGCGAAACAATCAGCCCCAATCGAGCCCAAACGTAAGTGAGACAATAAACTCACCTGCAATAGATTTGAAATTCGGTTTCCATTTCTATAACTCCCTGTCTATCTGTACAAGTCCGTTCACTAAGGTTTACCACCCACATGTACTATAAATACCTCTGATCGATTACATTAGCGATTGAGAAGGGTGAAAAAATTTTAACACTTCGTGATGTCTTTTTTCAGTCTTGAGGCTTAACTATTGTTTTCTGCTTCATTGATACGACGCATACGATTCAAACTGTGTAACTCACACATTTATTGTTAGCGTACACTTCAGCATGCAACAAAAAACAGCTCACTAAAATCTTTCGTCTATGAGGTGAAAAATGTCCAAAATCTATGCACAGTGTTTATACGGAAGCGTGAATTCATGGATCGTACCCTATGGATCAAACACGGGACATTCCTAATTACCTCACCACGAATGAGTTGATCACGCCTGGTCCACACGCGATGAGGTCAAACATTTCCTAGCAATCTTTTCGTAAACATCTCACTTCGCCTATTTTGGTCCTTATCTTACTTTTATTAATAATTTGTCAGATGCTTCTATTTCATATTTAGATGAAATCTTGTAGACTTGAACGAGTGAAATTAACAGAAACAATAAACCAACATCATCTCCTAATATGACTGTGTGTCTTCTACCGAAACGAGAAAGTACGTGACTGATGTTTGCCTAGATGCGGAGCGCATATCGCATGTGGTGGATCCAAAGTGTATGCGTTTGTGTGTGTTTGAGGGGTGGCGGAATCAAAGTAGATGAGTGCAAAGTTGGTGGTGAGACTTTGCAGACTACAGGACTATCTTAGTTTAAGATCTTCTTTTTTGAAGGGAAACCTTACGTTTGTCTTATTTTGAGCCCTGCAATAGTGAATGTTCTTGCTGAGAAAGCTCCGTATCAATCCTAAGGTTGTCAGTCACACAGGCGTAGTGATTACGTAATAGAATACAGTTTGGAATTTGCTCAAACGTATTTCCATTGTGGGTCGAGAAAAACAA